CCAGTTGGCAAAAAGGAAATTGCTTGCTTTTCATAACTAAAACTTGGGAAATTATGAAATTCATACAGGAAGACAATTTTCTTGCACATCTAATTCGGTCGACCGCTCCGCACCGCCCTGCACAGCCCCGCACCGCCCACACCCAGCTAGCATCTTTTGGCTGTGCAACATTGCAGCATGAAATTTGTTTGTGGTCTTAGCCATAAGTTTGCCCGTCGACAGGCAACTTGCGGCTGCTGCCGTTTGCTGACTGCTCGAGCTGCTGACTTCTGGCTGCTCGCCCTTATCCAAGAGATTTGCAGTTTTTAAGCTCCAGCAAAGAGAGGTAGAGGAAGAGCGCAGCCTTCCCACCTCTCTCTCTCTATCTCACTCTTATCTCTCCCTCTGCTTGCCAGCCCGAGCACTTCTAAGCAATTTTGGTTGCTTTTTTGCGGCACTTTTGACGGAAATCCTATCCGTCTGGCGTCCTCCGTCCCGTCCCGCGCCCAGCTCCCTCCCCGTGCAATTCGTTAGCTTTGTTTAACTTGCAATTTGCTGGCAACTGATAGGTAGCTACAACTACTAGCCACAACTTGGCCAGAACTGACTGGCATCTTGACTTTCATTAGGACAGTGCATATTTGGTAAGCAAAGGCACAGAGATACAGATACAGCTGCAGCTACAGCTACAGCTTTTGGCTTTCAACTTTCAGTTACTGTTTCAGCTTCAATTTGTATATTGCAAATGGCAGGCAACAGGTTTAATTCATTTTTTATGGCTGCATAAGGAAAACCATTTATAAAGATATAAAGGAGATACATACATACATATATATGTATCATACATATCTATGAATATGTATATATATTGTGAAGCGTAGCCCAAAACCAATGAGCAGCAGGAAATCTAAAAATTACATAAGGGATCTGGGGATTTTTGCGATAGAAGAGCCTTCGAGCCAGTCAGGCAGCCAGCGAGATTGTCGCACACCAACAACAACAACAACAATGGAGACAACGCCAATGCTCCATTTGTTATTATGCTCGGCAGCGTGCAAGGATGGCATCCTGGCCACGTTTGTTTAGTTTACGTCCGATTCCCCATGCAATAACTTAAAAAACACGAAGACAGTCCGACAGGCCCGACAGCTACGAGCGGCCCAGTACCAATAAATGCCAGCCCAAGCCCACCTTGCCAGCCATCTTCAGTTGCTGCTGCTGCTGAGAGTCTGCACGAAGTTCTGCTGCTCCTGCTGCTGCTCCTGCTCCCACAACAATAGGCAAACAGCCGTTGGGCACGGAAGTGCCGCCATGACGAGCATAATTCTAACATGGCCAACAACAACACCCCATACACACAAAGGCGACAAAGCAACAGGGCTAAAAAACAACCAACACACAAACACACACACACACTCACACACTTACTCAGCTTGGTTTTGGGCTTGGCAATCATATTTCGCCAGCTTATTGACAGCGTAATCAGAGCCAATGTTTGACAATACTCATGGCAACAATAATGCTCAGACGCAATAATAAAATACAAATACAATTTATAGTTATACTATTTTTACGGTGCTTCTCCGCCAGGGTAAAAGGCAGTTGGCAGGAGGCAGGAGGCAGGAGGCAGAAGAGAGGAACAACAAAACTGGTAATTCATTACTTTATCGATGCCATAAGTTCGCCACGCAGCTGGGACCAGGTCGCTAGTTCGCCACGTTCCACACAAGCACCAATAGATGTATGTGCTCACACACACACACAGACACGCACACAGACACTCTGACACACACTTTTGCCTATTGGTAAGTATAAGCATTTTTGTGTACACAAAAGCTGACAATTTATAGCCTCAGTTGTGTGTCGTCTGGGCGAGTTAAAACCCTTTTGCGATATGGCAGAGACCCAAGAGGAGAACCCTCAAAGAGTCTAGAAGTCTGGCTATATGCTCACTAAATTTCTGCTACTTAAGAGAATTTTGTTTAATTGCCATTAAAGGGAATTGCATTCAATTGAAACAAACGTGGACTAAACTGGAATGAGAATTTGCTTAAAATAAAATAGAACTAATGAAACCTTGACTTATGATTATTTAACAAAAAAGAAACCGATCATTTCTGAACTGACGTTCGTCGTTCCAGCATACGCAATACATACATTTCCTTCTCTTTCTCTTTTAATACATATATTACAAAAGTAAGAAGTGAGTAGCTCAATCTGTGCCATGTTAAACTGGATCAACAACTACATAAATGTATATATAAAAGTTTATTATATTTGTCTACAACAATTATTCATCCATTTCACTTAATCAAATCAACAACATTTGATGGCCACCTCAATAAACACTCCCAAAACTCATTTCAAAATCCTAATCAAAATAAAATAAAATTTTCTGCTACAGCTAAATGAGGTTTTTTTGTTGATTATATTTTTCTTTGAGTACATTCTACACTGAACGCAAACAAACAATGCACAGGACACTGTCAACACTTTATGCAGCGAGTGCAAATGTTTTGTTGTGCCTAGAAAAATATTGACCAGCCACAAGGAACCCAAACAGCCTCTCGAAGAATAGCCAAAAAAAAAAAAAAACACATACACATACACACAAAAGTAACAACAACAATAATACTAATAACAATAATCATCACACTATGTTATAGTTAAAGCGAGCACAAATTATTATTGTTATTATATGTAGTCCGACTCGTGGTCAAAGCAGCAAAAACCACAACAGCGAAAAATGAAGTGGGGCATTAACGACCGCAGAATACTCCTTCACAAGCTAAGCAGTGTCGAAATCATTTTCCCATTGGGTCAAATGGCGTGGACATATGCGCCTAGAGCGTTTATACAATAGTCTATATATAGTCCCAATTGCAAGTCCCTTCAAATGCTTGTCATTCATGGACATTGCAGAAAACCAATATACTCATTACACTTTGGTCAATGAGTATTAAAAGAATAGAGAAAACTTTTCTCATTTGGCACGCATGACACACGACTTTATTCCCGAACAATTTTCGACTCACTCTCCCTCTCTGTCTCTCACTCTATATATAGCTCTATATGCATTTATATGGTCATGAATGTGTGCCGTACTGAGAATTGTTGACAGTGCAAACAGGAGGCTGGCAAAATAAATAAATAGGCTAAAATTGAAAATGCATAAATTGCTTGTTAACAAAAATACGAGTGCAAATGAAAATATAAAATATGCAAGCACACAAACACACACACGTATGTATATATATACAAAAGCAATTTGGCCCCAAAGCACAAAAAAAAATAAAAGGAAAATACAAAATAAAAATATATAATAATAATAATAAAACAATAACAAAAAAAAGATGTTGGTACACATTAAAACAAGGCCACAGCTGGCAGCAGGCGGCCCGCCTACGAGTCGTGTGGAGGAATTTTAAAATGTCGCCCACAGCAAATTGAAAATTAAACGAAAAACTTTAAAATAACTATATTAAAGGAGGCAGCAGAGTGAGGCACACCGAGCAGGAGACGGGAGGCGCTAGTCGGCCGCATGTTTTGTGAAGCGTCAAAGAAAAAGTTGTATAAAATGTTTTTTCCTTCGGCCTGACCCCAATTGTAGGCATGGCCAGGCTGCTTTTGTTGCGCAAGTGTTGTCAACTTAATAAAATGACGCTCGAGCATGGGAAGTTGACCAGGACAAGCTCCAGCAGCAGCAGCAGCAGCAACAGCAGCAGGGCCAGGCACCAACACAAACAAGCCACAGCAAGTGCATGTAAAAAGTTGTGCCAAAAAATACATTTCCCTATTCTTCTTTTTCATTTTCATATTCGTTTTCTTTTCTTTTTCGTGTTTTTTACCAACACTGTCACCAAGTTACTCATACACAGATGTGTATACAGATATAAATATATACTGTATGTATATCTTGGCAAGTTTGACCATTTTGGTCATATTTTACAGTTGCTGCGGCCATTGTTGCCGCTGTTGCACGTTCTACGTATGCGTGTGTATGTGTGTGTGTGTATGTGTGTGTGTGTGTGTGTGTGTGTGTGTGTGTGTGTGTGTGTGTGTGTGTGTGTGT